CTGATTATTATGTAAGATGAATAAATGACTGATATAAACTTGGTACCATTATATGTTCAATAGATTGTTAAAGGAAATTAATAATGTTGTAAGCAAGTTTTGGTTAGAAAGTTCACAATTTTACTGTGGTGTTAGTTTGTAAACAGTCATTTGTGGTCTGAATTGGTCATACTTTCAGAAATAGATGGTTTCAATTTTTTATTTGCTTAGAGTATATTATAATATTGTACTGTTCACATGATATATAGAGACAGGTTTTTATTTGGAGGTGTTCATCAAGACACTTATTTGCTGTTTACACAGAAATCTGTGGTGTTATATTTATATGTTATATTTATATCATGACTGTGAGGATCAATAAAAATAACTCAATAACCATTATAGAGACAAAGGAGTGTTCACAGTATATTCATGATATATAGAGACAGGTTTCCACTTAGAAGTGTTCACCAAGACACATATTTAGTATTTACTGTATATAGAGAAATCTGTGGCATTATATTTATATGTTTTGTTTATAATTATAATCATGACTGTGATCAAGAAAAATAACTCCATAAGCATTACAGAGACAAAGGAGCGTTCACTGTATAGCCATGATATATTGAGATAGGTTTTCACTTAGAGGTTATATATATATGATATATTGAGATAGGTTTTCACTTAGAGGTGTTCACCAAGACACATATTTGTTGTATACAGAGAAATTTGTGGCGTTATATTTATATGTTTTATTTATAATTATTATCATGACTGTGAGGATCAAGAAAAATAACTCCATAAGCATTACAGCATTCCAGAGACAAAGGAGCGTTCACTGTATAGCCATGATATATTGAGATAGGTTTTCACTTAGAGGTGTTCACCAAGACACATATTTTGCTATTGACACAGAAATCGGTGGCGTTATATTTATCTGTTTATATATAATCATGACTGAGGATCAAGAAAAAATAACTCCATAAGCATTACAGAGACAAAGGAGTGTTCACTATATACAGGGTGACCGGAAAAAAAGGAGACCATTGAAATAGGCAATATCTCCTAAAATAGACTAGTGACATCAATGAAATTTTGCATACATCAGGACAGTTCTATGGAAATTTGTTCCTGAAAGTGTCAATACAAGCAGTCAACTGGTTCAGGAGCTATGATCATTTACATAACATGCTCCAAATAGGCGCAATTGAGACCAACGCAGAGCTGGATACATTTGGCAAATACCCTTACATATTCCGACCTTGTTATGGCATTACATTTAGCATTTATTGCCACCTTTAGGTCAGCAATTGTCTCAGGATTGTTTTGGTACACATTGTCTTTCAAATTGCCCCACAAAAAGAAATCAGGTGGATTCAAATTTGAGGTGTATGGAGACGAAGCTTATCTGACCTATGGCTTCTGACTCAGTGATCCCAGTCAGTTACAGTATCATCCTAAGGAGGTTTTGGGCAGCCCTTGGTTTTCATATGGGATTTAATTGTGCCATATAGTGGTTTTAGTAACATGGCACTATGCCCAATACCTAAAGTGACTCTTAAGATTTGGTAAATCAGCACTTTGGCAACAGGATGATGAACCACATGTCAGATAACCCTTCATTGCCATTACAGCCTAGACTTGAATCCTGCTGATTTCTTTTTGTATGGATATTTGAAAGACAATCTATACCAAAACAATCCTCAGACTATTGTTGACCTAAAGAAGGCAATCACTGCTATATGTAATGCCATAATAATGCCATAATAATGCCATAGAGGGCAGAACATGTAAGGGTAGTTTGCCATATGAATCCAACTCTGCGTTGGTCTCAATTGTGCCTATTTGGAGCATGTTATGTAAATGATCATAGCTCCTGAACCAGTTGAATGCTTGTATTGAAACCTTCAGTAACAAATCTCCATATAACTGTTCCAGTGTATGCAAAATTTCATTGATGGCACTTGTCTAGTTTAGGAGAAATTGATTACTTCAATGGTCTCCTTTTTTCCGGTCACCCTGTATATAACCGTGATATATCCATGATATACAGAGACAGGTTTTCACATAGAAGTGTTTACCAAGACACATATTTGCTGTATACACAAATATTTGTGGTGCTATATTTATATGAGGTTAAACAAAAAAGGATTCCATAAACATTACTAAGGGGTGTTCATTGTATCCATGATATACAGATTCTAACACATAGAAGTGTTCACTAAGACGCATATTTGCTGTATACACTTTAGATCACATGTAAATTGTATTGACAAAGACTATTAATAAATATAAATCGATTAACCATAAATAAAATCTTTTGTTATTGAAGGCCTTTACTGAAGTTTAACAGAATGATTAAAATAACTTCAAAGATTTATCAACGAATGCATAAAGAACGTGTAAAGAATCCATAAGGAAAGCAGCAGTCTGTCAGGAATATGTAAAGAAAAAGTAGAGAATCTTTACAAAAACTCTATTGAATCAGTAAAGTTTGAAACTTATATTTACAGAATAAATGCAGTGTCATTACAGATTCTGTAAACTCGTTTCTTTATCGAAACATTGCCGTGATCAAGTCCGAACAGTTTCATTACAGTTTTGACAGTAAAGAATCTGTATGGATTTTTTATGGAAATTGTGATGGAAAAAATTGCCTGTGTAGATCTTAGTCAATGGCATGTTGCACCTCAGCCTTTAATTGGCGATATTCGCGACTATTAATTTTCGTGATTTTTACACAATCGCGAAAAGCACGAAACTAAATTGCACGCGAAAAATATCGGGAGTACAGTACATTGAAACCATACACTCTTATATTTCATAAGAATTTGCAATCAAGCCTAACAAATCTATTGGCAAAATATTAGAAGGCCAGCAAATGTACACATGCTAAAGTGATGAAACTTTAATGAATTTTAATTTTGCCTATACTGATATGTGTTAAACTCTATTTGGGTTAGATTTATTCGGCTACACCCTCTACTTACAGCCTTAACATGCCCCCTATCGGCTATCACCCGCTTCAAAATCATAACAGGTTCCTTTATATCTTCCTTTATCTTCTGTTTAAGAAAAGCTGTTAGCTATCAGCTGTATTTTTGTCAATCAAGATTTCTCTTCATCTGTGAATTACCCAGCGAGAAACCAAAATGGCAATTTTGATGGAAAGACACAAAGTACCAGTCAAAATCTCTGAAGATTTCCGGGCAAACAATGGCAGCTCTCCCAGTTAGGTTTTAGACTGTCTTCTCATATTTTGTCAATTTTATTCAAGTATTCAAGTATTGTTTAGAGTTGTGCGTTCAACATATTCGAGAAGTCAATAGCTATAATAAATCTGCAGATTTTGCTCGCATTTATGTAAGCTTTTCTCTTTTGACGGATACTTTGTGTCTTTCCTTGAAATCATGACAGGTGTAACTGATCTACTGAAATCAACTTCAAGTGCTTTAATTACTACTATCTCCCAATGTGAGCTACATTAGTGCTTTTTGTTGAGAAAATATGTAAGTTATTAGCCGCTTTTTTGCCGATCAGGATTTAAATTCTCTTTATCTGTCATGTACCTAGCAAGATTCAGAGATTTTGACTTGTACGTCATGTCTTTCCGTCAAAACTTCCATTTTTGGTTTCTTGGTAAAGAGTAGCTTCTCAATGTATAATGAGAATTTGCTGTTCGGCACAGAAGCACCTTTTAATTTTTTTCGATTTTCGCAAGGAGGATACTAACACAATTTTGAAGCGGTTGATAGGGGCTCTAAAGGCTGTTCTAACATATCAGTCACAGCCTCTGAAAGAGCTAGATCTAAGGCTCTAGCTTTAGGCTAGTCTAAGTCCTATAGATCTAGTAGTCTAGGCCTAGAGTCATAGCCCAGGCATAGGCCCGCAAAAATGTAAAGAAATAAAGCTTACAGCATGTTCTATTTAAGTGAATTTGACTCATGTTATACATGTTCCGGGCCTATGCCTAGTATAGTCCCGCAGGACGAAGAAGATAGAATGTAAAAATCAAATTGAAAATCAAAATAATCGAACGAAAAAAAATTGAAAAAGTTGAAAATTCGATTTCGATTCAATTTGATTTTCTGCCATTATAAATGAAATACTGTACTTACCAACATGTTTCTCGGATATATATGTTGTTCTTACTTTATCTTCGCCGAAGATCGATGTTTATTTATATATAACAATCGAATAATCGACATAATTCAAACTCATCACTACGACACAAAAATATATCACTTTCGAAACCATGTAAACTGCTAAGATGACGTCATTTATATCCGGGATTGCTTTGCAAACTCCACACAACAGACTGTCCCATCTTTTCTCCTGCTTTCTCCCGATGCAATTCATACATTACTCGGAGATTACTGTCAAACGTTCCAAGTTTTACAATTTTAGCATGTTTATTACGATCTAATTCCTGCCAGTATCAATGAATAAATCTATTGACCAACAGATTGGAAATATGTATTCCAGCGATACCCTCATTTTGACGAAAGAATGGTACAAATATGTCCACTATTTATCGAGATATCGTGTAGAAAAATTGAAGAAAGACATCGCTTAAGAAATTTCTATTTCTAGACTGAACTGTTCACGCTCGCAAGTGGCATCTCCAACTCCATATATGGGCAAAAAGGTGGAGTTAACAATAAGCAATGCAGGGATTGACACGATTGACACGAAGAAGTCTCGATGAATCTCGCTTAAACTCCGCCCCTTCTTCGTGAAAAATCACGTGAATTCCGGCTTTTGCTGGGACATATCCGGGCATCTCGGCTTCGAACCCAATCAGAAGTTTCAATTTTGACTGGCGCCGCATACATTATCTCAAGTCTCACCCAATATTTTTATGTATACGTTAATAATTGTTTGTAAATAACTGCTTGTATAATTATTTTTACAAAAAGCTCTACTTCTCACTACCATTTATTTACGATTAACATCGATCATCGATAAAACCTTAGTAAATATGACACATGTGGACTGGCATTGACTTGTATGACAATTACCTGAGGGGGATCATCAGTACCTCTATTGTCTGCATATGCCATTATAAACTCTTTGCTCTTAGCGATGTTCATATCAGCCAGTTGAATTCCTAGCTCTTCCATCGCAGATGTATTGTAATAAAGTACCTCCACAATCTGTAGCAGTTTCATTACACAAAAACTAAAACTTTTAAAATTAGAGTATTTGTATCTTTACTTTCCGGACACCCTGTAACTTCGCACTATACCATTTATTCAAGATTAAACGTTTTAGTTGAAACTCTGACGTTCAGTTAAATGAAAATGTATGTGAACAAATAATCATATTGGTGGCAAAGTGTGCATGCGGTAAAACATAGTCAAATTACTAATGTAAATATATTTGTTTTTTGTCCCTCTGTAAATAATTGTTTGTAAATAACTGCTTGTATAATTATTTTTACAAAAAGCTCTACTTCTCACTACCATTTATTTACGATTAACATCGATCATCGATAAAACCTTAGTAAATATGACACATATGGACTGGCATTGACTTGTATGACAATTACCTGAGGGGGATCATCAGTACCTCTATTGTCTGCATATGCCATTGTAAACTCTTTGCTCTTAGCGTTGTTCATATCAGTCAGTTGAATTCCTAGCTCTTCCATCGCACCAACTATCGTCTGGAAGTATAAAAATGAAATAGAGTCCGAGGTCGATCTCAGTGGCTCAAACAAACAGAGTCGATAAGTTTTAACATTACAAAAATGACGAGCTTTTATAGTTTAAAAGTTAGTTCTAGTTCAGGAGTACGGATGCACACTCTACGGATCCCAATCCAGATCCTCATTGGTGGTAGGCTCAATAAAATTACGAGTACATTCGTTGAGCCTTGAAACCAATGGGAGGAATCTGGCCGCGCCCCGTGGCATACTCTAAGTTACGTCTTTCTCCTTTAGCTTAGATGATCGGGAGATCTGATAGACCAGAATGGATTAGAAGGGTAAATATACCTTATCATGCTATTAGAAGGCTTGAGTCACCTAAGTTTTCAATGACATCTATACTTGAGAAAATATTTCGTCAAGATTGCTGCCAGATAGATACAAGAGGAAGAAAACCCCAGAGCTAAGAGATGCGTTTGTTCGAATTTTAACTGGCTAATTTCTGAATACCACACATCGTTGTGCTGTTTTAATCGATGCTAGCAAGCTGTATTGTTACGCGGAATATGGCATATATTCATGGTTGCGCGGTATTTGTGATACGGGTGAATATGTTATACTCACCTGTGGTATATGGCATATTCCGCAGGTGAGTATGGCATCTTCCACAGTGAATATGCGATACATTGATTTCGGTGAATATCCTATACTCATCTGCGGACTATATCATACTCACTTACGGAATATGGCAGGTGAGTATGACATATACCGCAGGTGAAAACGAGATACAGAAAGGCTTGATTTGATTGGTCGCGATAATCGATTCTAAATGTAAAACTACGTTGGATTACCAACATAGTTAGTCCTCGACTTCGTCTCGAGCCAATACAGAATATCTCGAGTACAATATATCCTGTACTGCACTTCTAATCATTCAAACGCTTATAGAGTAGTTTTCCTCTAACATAGAGCTAGATAGAAAATACAATGATGCATTGTGATCATCTATATAACATTCTAGCCATTTCTATATGTCACAACAAAGTGAATCTTGATTAAGTGTCGTCTTGTTGAAAGTCAATTGAGCTACACTCCCCTCCAAAAGTTTGGCAAACAGAAGTTGCCCTATGGACGATATCTCGCCATCTTTAATGCCTGTTTATGTTCGGCAATTAAATTTTAACAAATTCATCACATTTAAAGTTTGATATATTGTAAGTTTGTAGCTGAGATTGTAAATTTAGATTTAAACATGATCAGGCTTAGCGCACATATAATCAAGACTTCCGGTGTCATACCGGGCTGTGATAGTTATTACGATTAAACTAGTAAAAAGAATAACCTTCCGGAGTAGCAAATTCTACGTTTTATCGAATCAAAATAACCAGCTGGCAGAAATATTGTCTCGTTTTGGCAAAATCTATGTACCATATTTGATATTCCTCGTGTAGAGGTCCCCTGACCACCAAGCACCAGCCGATAAGTTTTGGACCAAATCGAATGACTGGTATTTGTGTCTTCTTAAAATTCCTTCTTGAGCACATGTCCTTTCTCCCGCCTAGCATATAAAATTTAAACTATATCGTTTGACGGAAAATATTGGAAAGCTTCCTAATTAGTATAGACGTCTTTTGTTCATAAGACATTAGCCTATAAAGTAAAGATCAAATCCGATATCACCTATTCAAAATGGCGGCCATTATGAGAGCACAAAAATCAAAATCTGTCGACCGATATTTGAGTAATATAGACGAACGAGCGAACTTATGAACGGCTTCTTCCTCAATTATAACAAATGACAAACATTTGTTCAAAATGGCTACTTAAACAACTTTTTTTAACATTACATATATTAAGTAAATATCGTCGTTTATGCATTTCAAACAAAGAAAATATTCATGTTTACTACTATTTATTTTTAAAAATTATGACCTTGCCATTTAGCCAACCCCTGGATATTTATCGTTTTATAGGCATGTCATTCTTTGGAACTACTTTGACACCACTTGAACAAATTAGAGTCTCAAAGGACACTTCATTAGGTATATCTGAGGCCACTACTATTAGGATAATATGTGTAAGACTTTAATCCAAAGAACAGAATCTTAATAACCTAAAATCACAGGCTGATATCGAAAGATTTGTCCGCTGTGACGGAGCATGCTATTTTTCATAAAAAACACTGAGTTACTTCACGATTTATTTTTTAACTCATATCTTTCGTTATACCATACAAAATTACTTACTCCATGCAATGGATATATCATTTGCGGGTAACTTTCACTTCTGTTTGAAGTCCAATTACGCTTGGAAGAAATGCTATTGAAAATGGCGCCGGAGTATCATACTTCTAAATGTAACATTTCTTGTTTAACTTTCTAATGGCACGATATAGTGACACGATAATATTTACACATGGTTTCAGCATAACTATGAAGGTATAAATGAGATGTTGATGTATTTGGTCTTTTTAATTCTTTTGTAAAAAATAATGTTTAATTTGTTTGTCCGCTGTGACGGAGCAGTTGCAAATGTGAACTGTGAAAATGCTCCGTCACAGCGGACAAAAAATATTAATATTATTTTTTATAAAAAAATTAAAAAGACCCAATGCATTAATATCTCATTAATACATTCAGAGATATGCTGAAAATATATGTTAATATTATCGTGTCACTATATCATGCCATTAAAAAGTTAAAAAAGAAATGGTTCATTTTAGAGTTTGATACTCTGGCGCCGTTTTCAATAGATTTTACTCCTAGCGTTATTGGACTTCAAACAGTAGTGAAGGTTACACGCAAATGATATATTAGACAGGTTCCAATTTCAGAATATCTCAAGGGAAAGAGTTTTTGAGGCATTTTTTAGAAAAAGCAACAGACCCATTTTTTCTGGATCAGTTTTTCATGCTGATAAAGATATTAAAAGATGACAGCTCAACGGGGTGGTCACGACACTGCATTTTAGCGTTTTTACCCCCCTAGGAAATTATCTTAGGGGTACTATAATATTAGTTCATAACTCAAAGGATATATAAACTATTGTTCTGAGTTCTACAGCATACATTGTTAGTACAGAGATGAATACTATCCTAAAGTTATAGGTTGATATCTTTGTTGGTTTCGGAAAAATACAATTAATAAGAAAAAAATATGCAATTTTTGTCATTTTTTTCTTGCTTATTTTATATTTGTAGCTTCAAGCAAAATATGATAACATTAACAGCTCAAAGTAGTATTCTAACAACATTCCCAAGCTATGTGTGATATTGTAATACATCTATTGTAGTGATGAAGTACTATTTTGTAATTTTAATATGACTTTATAGTGCCCTACCCCTGGTAAATAGAAGAAAGTTGGTGTGGTTTTCTTCTGGTTTTAACATTTTATTGACTTCTTAGTTGAAGATAAAATCAATTCTGTCAGTTAACCACGAGTAGCTTTACAATGGTTAACTATTCCCATTAATAGAGGGTTGGGACCTCAAAAATACCAGAACTGTTAAGTGGCATCCTTGGGCATCCCTCTTCAGAGCATTTTCCTTATACTCCGATGAAATCTGCAGGAGATACTATAAGAAACCTATATATCTAAGATACTAATGAAGATACTGAATTCAAATTTTCAATTTTCAGGATTTGGTCCTGGTATGATAGGTAATCTGTATGACAAAAATGACGAAAAGAAAAAACTCTGTTGCCATAGTAACAAGAATACCACACTATTTGTTTCCTGAGAAATGTGTTTTAAGAGGTTTTGTCAGTCTCTTCATATTTTTAATTCTAAATATGTCTACAATGTGGGATGATTAAAATTATGGTAAAGTAATCTTTTCTATTGTTCTCTAAAACAGAAGTTGCTATGGCGACACATACCTGTAGATCATAGAAAAAATGCTGGGATGATCGCTTTATTTGTCAGGAAATTAAAATGGAAACTTAAAAATGAGTTTCTTCCCACAGAATAGCATTAATTTGGTAGACCATGGCTGACACGCACAAGAGAAAACGTTTATCAGTTCTATGTCATTTTGTTTTTTTTGTTTTTTTTATCGTGATCTGGGACACCTAATGCCTAATCTTCTCCAACTGCAAAGGAAGGCAAGATTTTAATAATGAACATTCATATATCTCAACAAATATGGCCTAAGATTTGGACAATGATGAGGAAACTCTGAGGGAAAATTAGACGAAACATTAATGTGAGTGGTCCAAAAATAACACTAACATATTTTGGAAAAGTTATGCTCTCAGATGAATCAGTGCTCATTTAAGGATAGTCTGAATCAGGTGAATTTTTTAACCTAATTGTAACCCTCCCCCAAAACCCCCAGATTTTGACGAAATTGTCGAAAAGTGGCAAACAACATTCATTAAAGTTGAATATGGCTATTTCGCTTCTATGTCATAAAGATATGATACGATCTCAGGTCAATCAATAAATTTCACAAGTGACACTCTATCTTATGAAGAAAATACTATCGTATTTGAAGACATGTCAAAAATTTGGTGGAAATAAATTGTGTCACTCCTGATTTGACCTGCAAAGGTTCAAGTAAGCTATCACAATCAATTTCAGACAGTTATATCTTTGATTATGACTATTTCCTGACCATGAAGACAGGTATACAGGGATAATAAAGTCAATCAGACTCGGAGATATTTCACTAGCAATCAAGTATCAATATATTTTTTCAAAGTTGTTGACCTCATTTTCACCAAAAATGCAATCATTTTAACAATGTTTAATGCATTACTGTTCTTTATTTTAATGTATCAAATAGCTCTTGAAAGGAAAACTTAATTTCCCCTAAGATTAGTGTTCCCCATGTTATTTCCCCTTTGAAAAAATTCATGCTATCCATTGGTTTCAGTTCATTTTGGTCATCTAAATAAATGTCTTTAAAGTCCCTGGAGCAATCCACTTTTCCTCTTAGGAAATAGAACATGTCTCAAAGCATATTCTAATCGTGCATTCAACAATATAATTAAAGGTTGCATCTTTGGTAAATCTAGGTCATCATTTTTAGTAAAAAGTATGTTGATTGGGCCATTCCCTTTAATATCCCTTAGGTCTGATTAATCATGATTATATTTACTTTTCTTGAAGATAATGAATAGATCTAAAAGATATACCCATGTTCATGGTCACAAAATATTCATAATTCAAGTTAGAATGGACCTTTTTCCATATAAATGAAAAATAGATGGCATCATGGGTATTGGTAGAGCTTGGGTAGGGCTAGAATATGTGACATGTAAATGTATTGCCAGAGTCACTTAATTTCTTGATTTAAGAAGTAATTCCATTAGGATCAACTTAAAACATCATTGGAATGTAACTATATGATCTTATTGACATGTGGATTGTGATTTCACATTAAAATTGTGATCCTTGTAAGAGTTAATGAACTTTTAAAGGTTTTTCAGCATTGTGTCAATGGGGATTTAGCCCCACCTTTTTTAGACAACCAGAAAATCATTAGAATTTGAATAAAGGGGAATAACAGTGCAAATCAAAGTCGTTTTGATAGAGAATTACTCACAGAATTCAAATATGCCATCAGATGGAAGAAAACGTTAGTTTTTAATGGTTAAAAATGCAGATCTCCTAAAATCTCATTAAAAAAGGATCATTGTCTGAAGTTGTTTGCGATAACCTACATGCTCCTTTATAACATTATTATGTAAATACTATCAAATGCTTTAGTCATGACAGTTGAAGTAAACTGAAGTCTCTTGGTATTTAAATGCAGAATCAGATCTATGTAGAGTAAACAAAATTGAAAGCAACATGTACAGTTGACCTACCAATGTATTTCTTACAATCTCAAATATAATATCTCCCAAAAGATCCACAATATATTATTAATTGGTAATGTTGTTTAAAATTCAAAGTGTAAAATGGGGGAAATGTTCAAATTCTCCCAAATAATAATAAATAAGTTACACTAAGTTATACAAGTGTGAGGCACCATCGCTGGGAAAGTTATCTTTGGTTAATAAAAAAGATTCTTAGCTACTTTTCTAACATCTGGCTGTGATGCATCATGGCTTAATGAGGACTCTGCTATATGGTCAGATGATGAGAACTAACAGTTTTACGGAACTTTTGCCATGTTTTGCACATTGTAAATGACCCTTCTGAATGGGTTGTAAAGGTATATACCAGGAGGTATATATGGCTCAAATGACTTGTGCCCTAGTCCATGGGGCACTGTAGTACATTACTTGTGCATGATGACCACCATAGTCTAGTTGCTCAAATGAGATCAATACTCCTATTCGCGATAAGAGTTCAGGTGGTAATTTACATAAATATCTCCCATGATGCATCGCTTTGGAAGGGACAAATTTTCATTGGCCCGCCGAACGAGTGATTACTCTGAACGTTTCTCAGCTTCTGATCTTCCATCAGCCCTCAAGCATAGTTATATAATCCAATCTATTCAATAATCAGAAAGATAATCGGAGATTCAAAGTAACATTATTTATATTTTTCGATATTCGATGGCGTCTGAGCAATTTCTGGGATATCAGTGACGTCACTGGAATTGGACAGCATTTTTAACTACACATTACTTCGGATTTGGGGATTATAGCTCAAATTGCTTTGTCATATATCTTAATTACATACATACCTATCGTTTGTGCAAATGAAACTCTACATAAATGTTTAATAGAGCCGCAGTGCGGCATTGAAAATAGCACCCCTGTGTAATCCAATGGGAAAGAACCCGGATGTAGATGAAGTTGTACCATACATGAGAGCTCTTCAAACGAGAGGTTGCTAAACTGAACGAAATTAAACGTTATCGCGTATTGGTATATTGATGATTATAATGTTTAGACTTTATGTAAATGTCCTCTCTGGTATGTGATTACACTAGATTTCATTATGATACATGTACTAAATTGAAAACTTACATATAAAATATCTTAAGTCCTATATTCTAGTAATAAATGAATTAGAATGTCACCTAACATTTGATGATGGTATGAATTTATTGATTTGGTGTCTATCAATACATGTTTCTAACTTAATGCTGCAAAATGATAAAATTCACCACATCCACTTTCTTCAATTTTCCAGGGGTAGGGCACTATAAAGTCATATTAAAATTACAAAATAGTACTTCATAACTAAAATAGATGTATTACAATACCACACATAGCTTGGAATGTTTTTAGAATACTACTATGAGCTGTTAAAGCTGTCATATTTTGCTTGAGGCTACAAATATAAAATTGGCAAGACAAAAATTGCGTATCTTTTTCCTGTTTATTGTATTTTTTCTGAGACCAATAAGGGTATCAACCTATAACTTTAGGATAGTATTCATATTTGTACTAGCAATGTATGGTGTACAACTCAGAACAATAGCTCATATATCCTTTGAGTTATGAACTAGTTTCATAGTACCCCCAAGAATATTTTCCTAGGGGGGTAAAAATGCCATAATTCAGTGTCGTGACCACCCCGTTGAGCTGTCATCTTTTAATATCTTTATCAGCATGAAAAACTGATCGAGTAAAAATAGGTCTGTTGCTTTTTCTAAAAAATGCCTCAAAAACTTGAATTATTAGAATTGGAACCTGTCTATATCCATTGCATGGAGTAAGTAATTATCTTTGATATAACGAAACATATAGGTTAAAAAATAAATCGTGAAGCACTCTTAGTGTTTTTATGAAAAATAGCATGCTCCGTCACAGCGGACAAATCTTTCGATACCAGCCTGTGAAAATGGATATAGAAGAAGAAGAAGTCATAATTCTGCATTTGTCACCCTACCCGGTGTTATAGTGAATCGCTTTGTGAATACTTACTAGAATTGAGTCTTTGAGATTCTTCCGTATGGCAGATATATGAGACAACCTCTCTCTAAAAAGTAAGCGATGTTAGTATTAACTGCTGCAAATAATAGTGTAGAAGATGAGAATGTATTTTAAATAACCTATGATGGAAAAAAGATTTCTTCATCTTAGAAATAACGCACATTTGCATATTTCTCTCAGTGTTCATTGTTTCTGAATAAAGAAATCAAGACGAGAAATAAGCTAGACCCTTGCAGCTTTAAAATCTAATGCTACCTACATGAATCTTGCGAAAGACATATTTGTCAACCTTTTTAGAATTTCACAATTTTTCTTATATTTTGACATGATAGATAAAAACTGAACACCCATCCTTTTTCAAATTTTGATCCAACTAAACAGAAGTTTAATCTTTAAAGCCGATACTCAAGTATACTACCTTACATCTCCAAGTAGCCTTGAAACATTTCTAAGAAATTAAATCATATTTTCTATTTATAAGGTATTATATCTTACTGTTCATTAAAGCCATTGATGTGAATGATTTTCATTTGTTTTGTGATTGTACTTTTTCCAGATTCGCCAATACCTGAAAGATAATGAAAAAACAGTTATAATACGCAAACATGAAATCAACTATCATTATTCTGCTTTATCATTAATACCTGGACCTTGTGTTTTTCTAATAAGCATAAATTTATAACAAAGCGTATGTAATTAGGAATTACACAGTTATACTCAGAATGAAATCCTGTACTAAGGGATGATGTGACAGTCAGTTCACTCGAATGGGGATCGAACCCACGACCCATTACGGTCGAGACGACCCATTACGGACGAGAGTTCTACCACAGTTACACGATCGGCTGTTTTATTGTTTAGTTGTTAAATCAAAGATTACTTTGTTATGAGAACCAATTATACCAGAAGATGTCTATTTATAGATAAGGCATGCACGTGCCACACTTGTTATATGGATCGTGACGAGTTACTTTGACTTAATTCAAGCACCTGCGTTTCAAAGAGTTACCCCCTACCCAGGAAATATGTATCCGTAAATCTAACTTTAAAGTGAATTTCACGTTAGTATGTTTTATGGTCTCCACGTGTTACCCCCTACCCACGAAATCCATATTCGTTCCCCATCATACCATCACACTTTTAAATCCCAACTGTTCACTCCCTCCCTACGAAATTTGTGTCTGGAAATCTTATCAATGTTCTACTCCATCCGGTCGCTTTTTGCATTTAATTTTCAAAGAGAATTTTCTTTGATGGTTTATGAGCACATTGAGAACGTAGATAGACAATTTATATCCCACTATTTAGAGTCAATTAAAAGCATAACCTTTAGAACTGAACTTTATCAAGGACCCCAATCAGCCAATGGAGTAATGGAAGGGAGTTAAGATTGGGGAATGGTCCAGCAAGAACTTATTTTTCCATTTTTATTGATGGGGGGGGGGGGGTGTTGAATATGTTGCTTTGTGTTTTGGTCTAAACCTGATATACAGTACCTAAGAGCAGCAATTTGAGAGTTTTCTCGTCCTTCTTCTTCTGTTCTTTTAGCGATATCTCAATCTCTCTGTTGATCTTTTTCTGCATCTTGATTTCATCGGGAGTAGTTCCATAATGAATATACTTCTCGGAGCTGCTTGGTCCACACCCCATTCTTCCCTTATTTTAGTGTCTGTATATGAGATATCCACTTCTTTCTTTACCCTGTGGCTAAGAAAGCTTCCGGGGAAAGCTTGGTCCTATTCTGCTATATCTTTACTTTTGACTATACTCATACGAGTTTATCACTTTATTGTGCTCCCACATCTGCAATGGCTTGTTGTGACTTAGTGATTATGATAGTTCAACTTCTATAGCTTCTGACTTTGCTACTATACAGGGTGGGAAAACGTCCACATTTTTCATTTTGGTTTAAATTCAATAAGAAAAACAGTTTAATAAAACTACATTCATGAGTAAAAACGTCAGAAGTCATGTTACTACAATAGCATCACTACCCGCATCACTATAAAGACATCAGGCCCGTAGCCAGGGGGGTTCGGGCGAACCCCCCCCCCTGGCCAAAATTTCTTTTAAAATCATGCAGTCTTTCACCATTCTGACTAATTTTTGAGTGATTTTTGGCCATATTTGCCAAAGTGAACCCCCCTAGAATTCTTTAGAAAAACGAACAGCAAAATTCTGGCTACGGGCCTGGACATATTTGATGAAACAATTTTATATGGCATTTATATGCCTCAAACGTATTCAATCAATCAGGTGCTTGGATATGCTCAAAATATTGTAATGAAACATTGTATACAGAACGTTTGGATCGAGACTAAAACGGTACAATAAAAATGGTACAGTATCAAGGTTCGGAGGGAGAATTGTATACGAATGATGAAGGAATCTGGAGATCCTGGTATCAGATAAACTTTTTCATACAAATCCTCCTGAGAATTGAGCGACTATTGGAACAATAGCATAGTTGACCCATGTTTCCCCACAAAAATACTTTTCTAACTACATGTATTTATATAGTTAATTAAGATATTGTTGCAAAACTAAAAACATGGATGCTTTGTGGCCCACCCTGTATATACATGTATCTAATAGCCTCCACCTCTGAATAGTGTGTGACAATGCTAATTAATTTTACCAATTTCCAATTCTGCTATAGTTCGTGACTATGCCAGGTCATATGTGACTTTTTTGCTTGCGACTATACTTGCATAATCCATTATCTAGCTCCCACATTAGGTTATCATTAAACTTTAGCGTCCGTAGCTAATTCCAACTTAACTTACACAATTACTTCTGTGTATATATTGTGTCCGTATAATATTATCCATCCACTTATAAGTGCATCTGCAGAGCTCACATTTAGAACTATAATTCGAGGATGACTATTCTATGAATGCTTTTGGAATACTTTATAGTTCGATCTAAGTTGAGTCATCTATGTAAAAGCTTGTGTATATGTCGTCTAAAATAGTTATCTTGCTATAATTAGAAATCTTGTCACTGATACTATATATTAATATACAGCTTGGTTATCGTTTAACTTATTTTTTGACAAATGTACCTGTTTATTTAAGTTACAATCTAAGGTTATCAACCCAAACGCTTGCTGTACTCGCTTATCAACAAGGTGAACACTGAATATATGCTATGATTATCAAAGTTTAATGAAATATCGGTCCCTTTCTCCGTTTGCTTTATCGTTATGTATTGACAATATAATAATGTCTCAGATGCATTTCTCGTGTCTTAGGCTTGGTCTGCAGAACCTGCATTTAGTACACTGCATCACGTAAAATTGTAATGAATCCATTTTGTTTCATTTCGATTTCATTAGCTTAGTATCCCGTATCCAATCCGTCTCTTTAGGTAAATTACGCTATCAGAACAGTAGTCGGGACAATTGCCACTCCACAGGAGGCGTATGCATTATTTCAGCACATATCGATGGCTCTAGTATCTTTAAATTGATAAGGCTGTCACTTAAAGCTCATGTGCTATATTTCAAGACATCCATTTGTCATATCAGTGCTGGTTGTTAACTTAAAGTGTGCGCCAAAGTTTAAAACTGCGCAGGCGCACCGCTCTCGCTAAACTATATAAAGAGATTACCGGGTACACGATTCAGAGGTAAGCCAGGAAGGCGAACGATCTTCGTCTCATGATGATTTCCCATATAATCGTAACCAGGGAAGTTTCACCATTGAAATTGAAAATTACTATTAGATATACTTTGTAGATGTTATTTATGAAGCTATTTAGTGTTTGCAACAATCAAATGGCTCATTTTGAACATATAAAAAGTATTTGTGTTTTGTTTCCCAGGGAATTGTATTGTGTACACACATAAATAGTGTACATTATACAGTACTTGAATAGCCTGGTTTACATAATATTGAAGGGCATGCTGATTACATGCACACGAGTACATGAATGAAGGCCTAATATTGATATACGTAGCTTGCATACCTAAATAAAAAATAAACTCTTCTAATCCCCTAATGTAAACACGGCGGTATACGTAGCCCGATTTATCGGAGACTTTAACCTACATGTACTAGTGTATATTTTGACAGTCTAAAGAGTTAGGTCAATGTTAGACGTGCTCAAATTACTCGTAACTTGGGTTATTTGTTGTTCGTAAAACAGCCATCAATCTTTTGAATATGACTACCCAGGAGAATGATACTTCGGAGTGTATTGGAGACGATCGTGCAACTGATGATGACGTGAAGCGTGTAATTGAGGATTCGCCGGATGAACATAGTTCAGTGAAAGCAGAACATTGTGAGGAAGCAACGAATGAGCGTTCGATGTCTCCGCTACATGACAATAAAGAAAATGCAATTAAGTCAGGGGATGAGGATTTGACAGATAACGCAAATGAAGGACGTATAGCACATGAACGTGAAGAAGATTGCGTTGATACGATTCCTCCATATGATGAAGTTACATTGAATGCACTCACCCTGGGGTGCCTTTCGCACTTCCTCCCGGATGTACAAAAAGCGAAGTCAATTCTACATGAGCTGACTGAGAACCAACGAACGCTCCTGCTATCCATCACGCAAGAGAACAAACGTTGCCAAGACTGCGATTCTATGACTGAGCTCACCGTGATCATGGCAAAGTGTAAGCAATATCACTCGAAGTTGATTAACATAAAGAAGGACATGTTGATGTTGATAGAGAAGTCTATTAAGTTAAAGAAGCGCTCTATAAGGCTACAACAACAAAAGCAAAAAGACGCCTTGCAACGGGAGCACCAGAGGGAGAAAGAACTGGAGAGGGAGCGACAGCTTATTGCAAAGCCAGCCAAGAAACATGCATCTGCCATCATGTAACATAAGTTAAGCTGGTTAAGGCAAAATGCTAAAAAATCACATGGTCATAAAACACTTTGTTGAACTTTATGATGAGCCTTTGGAGTTCGTTAGATAAATAATAGATATTTGAGCTCAAATGGATTTTCATTTGAAACAAAACTTCGTATAGTATAAAGTTGACTATTATTGTTTTCGACAGGTCTTATGCAATGATTAATTGGCATTGATTCGCATTGCCCTGAAATCATCATGATTCTTTTTCCGCCTGTACATCCCAAGCCAGCAACCAGCCAGGCCAGAGTCTTGACTCTGGACCTCTGTGTTCACAGTATGGGGATGGAGTTCGGAGAGTGAGATGTCTTTAATGACACACATTTAAAAATCATTCTGTCTAGTTCAAAGTTCCAAAAATGGCATCAAATGACATCAACTTATCTAATTTTACTTCACATTGTTTCGTGTTTTCAGCAACCCTGTACTAAACCTCTGTCTGAATGCAGTGTTCAATTTCTGATGATGACTTGAATTGGAATCGATAAAAACCGGATAATCAGTAATACTTTGCAGCAAATAGGAATAATATAACAATAAATAGTGTATTATTATTTTATTTTATTGTTTATGAATTTTTCATTGCAATCGCCGAGAGACATTTAAATATTATGTGTTCATGGCATTTAACGTTTTTTCTTTAATCCTGATATTTATAGGGAATTGTCAATCTAATATTTATTTTACAACCCAACCGGAAAATTCTACCGACATTCTTTTAAACATGATTGAAAATGCATATCACTAGACAGAGTTCACTTGATAGAGATATGTGAATATATCGAAAATTCGTAATCTCAAACAATCTGTTTGTGAAACACTTCTTAACACAATACGACTAGACAGAATGGTATTAAATAGAGAGTACTGTAGTCGAAGGAAGCTTACTACAGGGTGATCAAAAACAAGGCCATCGCTGTCATTTCAATAATTTGAACAAAAATTATTCTTGAAACTTTTTTTTATTTAATTTTTGGGTTTCAGAGAAGAAAAAACATGTTAAAGCAATTGTAAATAAGCCACACGGTGAACAGAATCGCACCCTTGAACAGAATACAGTTTTCGGGATGGAAAATTCAAAATGGCCACCTTAACATTTACCCAGACTGCCTAAAAACTAATCAGTTCTAAACTTTACATAGAAACATCTCTAAAAAATTTTAGGATGAATCCATGAAACCTGTAAACAACCCTCAAGAGACACGTTTTAAGCTATTACTTCACAGTGTATCAGCTTTTTTCTACGATTCAGATCTTCCTGAAAAAATCCTGGTAAAACATATACTGATGTATTTCAAAATATGTGAAAATTGGAAAGATCGACCGTTTAGTTATTTCTAAAAAAATGTTTGAATTTAACATTGCTCTCAATGGGAAATTCTTTTTTATTTTTAAAACAATTGCCTTCACAGACACGATTTTAGGACGAAAAATCCAAAATGGCCGCCTTAACATTTAACCAGAATGCCAAAAAACGAATCAGTTCTAAACTTTCATAGGTAGAAACATCCCTGAGAATTTCAAATGAATCCCTCAAACGGTTTGACTGGAAACCTGTAAACAAAATCATTCGGGACGCCCGCCCGCCCGGCAAACTGATTACAATATAGCACCTTAGGGTGCGATAAAAACAGTTACATGGTAAACGTACATTACATTAAACAATTCAAGTAAGTTTAACCAAATGTCACCATTCATCAGTAGACAAGATGCAAGAAGAAATAAGCTTGATCTATTTAAAAAAGTCATTTCAAAAGTCAAAGTGATATCATGAAATTGCATCTAGAAATGAAGTTTTAAAAGTTATTGATCAACTTTCAATTTTTATTCTCTTAGAAAATATGAGATTTCTAAGTTGGGTTGATTCCCAATAGAGCCCATACTATAAAACCATTAAAATGAAATATCTTCTTGTAATGAACATTTGAATTATTTTACAGAACATATTCAAAATAGTTCATTTACGAAGGTTGAAAATGTAACCCCCCTATCACACCAAACTAGTTCTTACCCGTTCTTGCCAGTCCTACGAAAATGTCGTAAAACGGGCTCGATCTGGCTGCGGTCGGGATATATGTCTAAAATAATTAGCTACTTCGTTCATAAACAGTCTTCAATACGTCCATCACGTTCGCAGTTCGTTCAGGTCGCACCACGTCGGTGTGCAACGTAGTATAAACCGTCCCTTAGTCTAGAAGGTCATCATGACCTGATTACAGAACGGTATGGTCGCCATCGAATTTTGAATCGATTCAAATTTCTAAATCACATACCCCGTCCGGGAAAGTCCATGAAGTTCGTAAACAGACCGTAGAACGTTGTAGCTACATTCATTCAGATCGCACACAGTTTAAAACCGATTCGGCAACGTTTTGATGATCACCAGAAAATGTTGAGCATGCTCTACGTGCTGGAGGACCTACTCGTTCTAGTAGTTTCATGAAGTTTGTAAACAGATCCCAAACGGTTCTTAGTGGGTTCGTAGTACGTCAAATCCGTTCGTGCACAGTTTAAGCCCGTTTTCGAGAACGTAGTGAGAACTAGTTTGGTGTGATAGTAGGGTTAGATAACACTGCACTGATTTACTAACCCCCCTATCACACCAAACTAGTTCTTACCCGTTCTTGCAAGTCCTACGAAAACGTCGTCAAACGGGCTCAATCTGGCTGTGGTCGGGAAATATGTCTAAAATAATTAGCTACTTCGTTCATAAACAGTCTTCAATAAGCCCATCTCATTCGCAGTTCGTTCAGGTAGCACCACGTCGGTGTGCAACGTCGTGTAACGCGTCCCTTATTCTAGAAGGTCATCATGACCTGATTACAGAACGGTATGGTCGCCATCGTATTTTGAATCGATTCAAAATTCTAAATCACATTTCCCAACCGGGAAAGTCCATGAAGTTCGTAAATAGACCGTAGAACGTTGTAGCTACGTTCATTCCGTTCGCGCACAGTTTAAAACCAGTTTTGAAGAACGCAGCGGCAACTTGCTTGGTGTGATAGCTATATTTTTGTAAACTCGTTGATAAATACGTTCTTAATCATTTTTAACCCGTTTGCAATTAGTTCTACCTTGTTCTCAATACGTCCTAAGACAGTTCAACTCGTTGTAAAAACGTCCCTAGTAGGATTGAAGTACGACGGTTCCGTTTGTAGTACGTTCAGCCCGTCGTTATTAGGTTGTTACTCGTTCTAAATGTAGAGCTTAAATGACCAAGAGAACATTTTGAGCATGTTCTAAGTTCTAGAGGACCTACTCGTTGGAGTACGTTCGATGAAGTTTGTAAATAGACCCCAGACGGTTCTACAGGGTGGGCCAATAAAAATTGGAACATTTTTCTATTTAGTCAATTTTCTTTATTATTGCAGTTCTAGTCAACAAAAATTCAGATAATGGTAAAATGATTATTTGTGAAAATGTTAAATATAAAAATATGAATGTATGATTGTTTTTGGCTTGTCATGGTCATGATCCGTGTACTGCGTGCGTCATGAAAAATTTCCAAATTTTTCTACTTGAAACATCATTGCTGAAAGTACAGTATCTCATACAATTACAATATATGCCCTTCAAATGGTTTCAACACAATTTCCATCAATTAAAACAAATGTAGTTATCTCTAGGAGAAGCTAGACATGTCTCCTTTGGATAGTATAGCTTAACTCAGATGTTTTGCAAAGCTGGCACAATATGTCTCACACCTATCATTTAAGCCATGCATGACTGTCATATACACCTCAGACAAATTGTCCAGGTGGGTGGAGGACATGTTCAGTAATTAAATGTTGAGTTTGTATATTCATATTACACAAGCTGTTTACAATGAATTGTTTTTCAAATTCTATAAGTTTGGAAAATAATACATGACTAACAAAAATGTCACAATAGATGGAAAACTGTTACTATTTTTGTTCTTACTTAGCGCAATGGTTTCCTGAACCTCGGCCCACCTGAACAATCAGTCTGAGCTGTACTTGACAGTCATACATGGCTTAAATGACATGTCTAGGTCATGTTTTGACATGTCTAGGTTCTCCTAGAGATAACTACATTTTAGAAATTGTGTTGAGACCATTTGAAGGGTACATATTCACCCTGGACGAAGTGATAAGGTCAAAACAAGTGGCTCCGATTTAGGAAAATACGATCTTCCTAAAAAATAATAATTTTAGTACCCCAATTTTTGTAAGGTTAAATTCTTGTGAACAAAGAGGAGAATCATATACAATTTTGTATTATGTTCAAGTGGTACATCTTAAACTACTCAGTTCGTGTGTTTTAAATTGAATGGAACGCGCATTAGTGGCTGGAGTGTAAATTAAAGTTGAGAATTATATCTCCCGCTAAAAATTACGATTTTATATTGTCAAAATATCTTTCATTGATGATCAATGATGCATATAAACGTTCATGCACACCGAGATTGTATGTTTCTTTTCATATGTGCATTTACAGCATCGACAGTTATTTCAATTTGATGTGATGCCTATTGTTTTACTCCCGACGACGAACATTTGAGGAAAAGACGCGATTATTGATTTGGAAGCCTACACAGCTGAAAGTAAACAAGTGATTAATTAGACATCCATTCCACGTATTTTCCATATATTCTGTGGGAATCGGAGCCGCGTTTTTTCCAGAAAATAATTCTAATCTCGTCTCAGGGACGTAAATTACTACTTGTATTAGAAAAATAATAGTGATATGACATTCCCTGGTTCATAAACTATCATATCGCCAAATATCAATGGATTTGAAACAGAGTATCTACCATTTTTTCGAAAATAATCAAAAAAAAATATTGCGGTTATTTACAAAAATATATTATTTCAATTCGTATTCATTTCGTTTCTTAGTATTAATCGTTACAATATTATATATAGAGAGGTGGATATGTCTTGGATCAATGTACCGAGTTTGAACATGTCATGTGGCCAATAAAGGGTATAATTTAAAGAAATAAACTCACCCCTGCTCTGTCATGTTTATTTTTAGGAAGATCGTATTTTCCTAAATCGGAGCCACTTGTTTTGACCTTATCACTTCGTCCAGGGTGATATTGTATGGTTGAGATACTGTACTTTCAGTAGTGATGTTTCAAGCAGAGAAAATTTGGAAATTTTTCATGACGCACGCAGTATACAGATCATGACCATGACAAGCCAAATATAATCATACATTCATATTTTTATCTTTAACATTTTCACAAGTAATCATTTTACCATTATCTGAATTTTTGTGTATTAAACTGCAAAAATAAAGACAACTCGATAAATAGAAAAATGTTCCATATTGGCCCACCCTGTAAGTACGTCCAGTCCGTTCGTACACAGTTGAAGCCCGTTTTCGAGAACGTAGTGAGAACTAGTTTGGTGTGATAGTAGGGTAAATCTATTCATTGAAGTTCAGTAAAACTTTTTCTATGTCTGCCATTGTCTGCAGAGTTTCCATATTCCCTAACATGGGGGATCAAAATGTTTTCTAGCTTCAATTTATTGTTTGTTTGGCCCAAGGTCAGAGTTTAAAAAGTGTATACATCATACCGGTGAATGTTTGCCTGGTATGATAAAAACGGGAAATAAAAAGATAGGATTGATAAAGGACAATGCACTTTTTTCTTTACAGAGGTTATCAATATTTGAAATACTAAAATTTACACTGCACTGGCCGAATAACATGGGACCTAAACTCAAAATTTTGGATGATCCTTCCCAGAGATGTTATCCGTGAAAGCCCAAATTATGTAATTTCAAAATTCAAGAAAAACGTCATTTTAATGGATATGAATAACAGATATACTAAGTATATAAACAATGGCATAGTACCGACGCCATTTATACGTGTGTGCAGAGTTGCCATATTCCCTAACATGGGGGATCAAAATGTTTTCTAGCTTCAATTTTTTGTTTGTTTGGCCAAAGGCATTTGGTCAGAGTATATGTATAGTGTATACATCATACCGGTGAATGTTTGGTATGATAAAAACGGGAAATAAAAAGATAGGATTGATAAAGGACAATGCACTTTTTTCTTTACAGAGGGTATCAATATTTGAAATACTAAAATTTACACTGCACTGGCCGAATAACATGGGACATAACTCAAAATTTTGGATGATCCTTCCCAGAGATGTTATCCGTGAAAGCCCAAATTATGTAATTTCAAAATTCAAGAAAAAACGTCATTTTAATGGATATGAATATCAGATATACTAAGTGTATAAACAATGACATAGTATCGACGCTATTTATACGTGTGTCCTTCTGTCAGACCACAAGTCATCGTCAACTATCTCGGGAGCTATATGGACTATTTCTCTATTTCCTTCATATTTAGTTTGGATGATATTGGATCATTGGATCATATTGATTGTCATCCAAAATCTTTCATTTTTCATTTTATACCAGAATCAATTGGTTTTTTCATGTTTTGAAATGAATTAAATTTCAAACAATTCTCATTTTCTCTTTTCGTTTTTGAAAATTTTCACTGTATAACTTTTTTCAAATATCTTCCTTAACAAATACCAAAAGCACAATTAAATTCACAGTGAAGACAAGTTATTAAATGTTTAAAGCGTGACTGCCTTGTGATTTTTCTCCCGGACAATCAGTGATGTTCCATTCTGACTGTTTTATTTGAAATAAATTCACAATTCGTTGAACAAAACGTCCTTCAAAATCAACGTTTTGATAACACTAGGTAGGGCTATAATGTTTAACACAAAATATGTTAGCTTGTTTGATTGTTATGTATTGGTGTTAATCATTACTAAAAATCATGAATGTACGTGACAAAATTATATTTGAAATAAATTCACAATTTTTGAACAAAAAGTCGTTCACAATCAATCATTGATGCCATTGGGCAGGACATAATATAAATGGTTTACTTTACGAACATGGGGGCTTTGAAATATGTATCAGCTTTACGTTCCTAGTAAAGATTTTTTGAACGCTAATATTTTAATTAAAACAATAAATCAGGGTCTATTGGTTTGAAAACATGTAGTTTTGTTGCGTTGGCTGACTAAAATATGTGTGGAATCCACGGGGGAAAAGAAGTTACAGCAAAATTTAAAGTATGGACGTATTTGGTCCACCTTGTATATACAGAAACTATATGTATAACTTGTACAAAACATTATAATGAATTAAAATAAATTAGATTACACGAATCAGATGTTTTGTGATTAACACTCACAATTATTTCAATATATCTTCTATCTAGTGTAAGAATATGAAAACATGAGTATATCATATGGTAACATAATAATTATATAACTTTACAATGACATAACTGCAGCGTTTGAGTTTAGGATTGATGTCAACTGAATGGAAGGTATTTCACCCTTGGTATACGCAGCTAACGAAAATTGACCGGCACGGGTCAAAAGCTGGACCGGCACGGGTCAACGGTTTTATTTGAATTTAAAACAGCCATAACTTGCTCAATATTGACTTCCTCGTGTCTAATTTGAAATATATGATGCCTCCCGATGCTTTTAAGTACCCCAATTTTTTACAGATTTTTAAACGGACCAAAACTCTCTAAATGCGCATTTATGCTCTTTTCTCTCGAGAACGACTGTCTCATTTTCACGATAACTTTTATTTAGTACTTCTAACATATAAGATCTATTTTTCCCCATCAAGGTATGATGTAAATGACATGCTATTTACATCTTGTGAGTTTCAATGACGCGCGTTTGATTTTATAAAAAATGCCAAACTTTGTGACAAAGAATTTCATCAGCTATTGCCCCGAACCGGTCCGTCTTCTCGCTACAAGCAGATTGCCCCGAACCGGTCCGTCTTCTCACTGCAAGCAGGATGAAATTCTTTGTCACAAAGTTTGGCATTTTTTATAAAATCAAACGCGCGTCATTGAAACTCACAAGATGTAAATAGCATGTCATTTACATCATACCTTGATGGGGAAAAATAGATCTTATATGTTAGAAGTACTAAATAAAAGTTATCGTGAAAATGAGACAGCCGTTCTCGAGAGAAAAGAGCATAAATGCGCATTTAGAGAGTTTTGGTCCGTTTAAAAATCTGTAAAAAATTGGGGTACTTAAAAGCATCGAGAGGCACCATATATTTCAAATTAGACACGAGGAAGTCATTATTGAGCAAGTTATGGCTATTTTAAATTCAAATAAAACCGTTAACCCATGCCGGTCCAGCTTTTGACCCGTGCCGGTCAATTTTCGTTAGCTGCGTATACCAAGGGTGTATTTAAAGTGGCGGCAAAGAATAGGGATCAAAGAGTGTAAAAAGTCGGAAACAATTTCTGTAAAACATGTTAATTTCATCCTTATTGTATTATCTGTAGTGGAATTCACGTATCTGATAAACCAAAGTATTATTTTGAAATAAAATCGGAACTGTTGGACGGTTGTGATAATTTAAGAATGTTATCGTCAACTCAACACTATTCTTTGTTGCCCCGTTTACATATTAAAGCAACCCTTCAATCAGCCAACAATTAAATCGCCAGAATGTATGTAGGTCCATGAGTTACGTGAGGTAAGTTTGAAATAAATGCATTAATAGTGAGCTAGTTTGTTTAACAGACCTATCTCTTCAGAAGACTAAGTCTCCGGAAAACACAGTAAAACGATCTCCTCGTCCCCTCGTTAAATACGTGGGCTAAAATGTCCTCATTTGAGAGCACCAATGTGTCAAATCCAGATGCATGATTCCCTTGTCCAAAAATGATAGTGGGTGATTATTCATAGACAACTTCATACACATGTGTTGTTTTTGTGATGTCTAGTGTAACAGTGATTGTTGCCTTTAAACTTAATATTGTTTTCCTTGGTTGACATGCTTATATATGCTGACCCACTTCGATATGCTGATCATACACAGTTTGAACCATGACGGTATCACTACATACTTAGAAGGACGAATTCCCGATGGATTTTCTTTCAAATCAGCATTGTGGCCGATAGTTCCGAGCAGTGACATCTAGAGTGGCTTTCATTCGGTAAGGTTCGGTCTTTTAGAAACTGGTTGAAAGATCGCAGGTACACACATTTGGATTGTGTGTATGTGTAGTTGTTTCGCTTGGTTTGATCAGTTTGGGAAATGTATTTCCCTTGCATATCTTATCTGTATCGCATTGTTGCTTCGTTCGTCCGGTTATTTGTCAAAATATAACACTGTTGTCTGTACAATCACTTTAAATAGCAAGAACTGATGTAATAAGATAGTTATGATCATAGATAAGGCAAATCATCAAACTATACATCGTACATGTATATATGTATACAATATGTGTACTTTCATTAAATGATAAATATCAATATATGCTCTGCTGTCATAAACATCCTTCTTGCGAACAATGACGTAATCAGACAGAAATATGCCTCTATTTAAGATTTAGTGTGGTGCTTCTTTCCTTTCTTTTCATTCTTCGCTTTTCTAGATTTCTTATCTTTCTTATGTTTCCTATGCTTGTGTCCCTTTCGTACTTTGTCGCTAGTTCCCCTAGCCGCGGCCGCCTTAATGGGACCGTCATTAAAGCTAAGAAGACTACTGAAGTCTGGGCGAATAATAGAGCGTCCGTCAACTTTACCCCAGACACCAATCACGTATGACTCGATGTCGCACTCGTTCACACCTTTTCGAATTCGAAAATATCCATTTTCTCCCCATTGTGTCCCCCAGGAGTTAGCAGCGATCTGGAAGTGAAAAGATCGAACGTGGCTTTACGGAGACCAAAGATTGGAAACAGGACTTAAGCTTATTAGGATTTTTTATTCATAAGTGCAAAAAGCTTTGTTAACATGGAACATAATTTATGATGTTTTGGTAGCTTTATATAACTTCATAATCGTGGCCGTTTATTCTTACCCAATATTTCTCCTCCCCAAGTGAGGTTTGTTCTGAGCCCCATCTGAAACAAAGATAAAACATAAAGTATTCAACGGTATGTCTCGTATGTCTAAATCTTGTTTTTCGTGAGATTTTAAGAGATTTACATATTAGACCTCTAATGACTTACATTACCTTCTTTTAAATAGCATCTTTGAATTCAGTGAACTGTTTTCTCCTATATTAGCTTTGATTTACACAGTTATGTAATTTGAACAATTTTCTATGCCAATTTAAAAAAACTTGGGCAAAATCTCCATAGATGCAATGCTAAAATTCTTTAAAACCTTGGATTATTTGTTTGTCAACCGACAATTGGATGTTTAATCACAACATGTACATAAACAGGGTGATCATGTAGTATGTCATTCAAGTTTTATATACATTCAACTAAGACTCTTTGATAAATCATAAAATTAAGCCACTTTTCCAAGATTTTAGCTTGTAAGTGAATGGAACTCTAGCCCAAATTAAAAGCTGAATAAAAGATGGCAGCACTATATTCCATGCATTGTTTTTTCTTCTATTTAGAAACTATCCTATTGATCCTTCCGCTAGAATGATAAGACCACACACGATAGATGGCAAGAACAAAAACAAGAATATAGTCCAGTTATTCTAATTACGTGACCAGCATCACCAGTGGTTTGATTTTGGTAAGTCCGTGAATGAAATAGTGTATAACACATGATTTGCTATGATTAAGGTGCATTTCCTTTGAATAGCTTGAACTTTATGACCTCGCCCTGTCAAAATCAGAGTGATAATTTTTGACATTTCTTATAGAAGGCGTATTCAAAACCAATTAAAGCACCATACAGTGAAATAATCAGGGAGGTTAAGTTACACGTTTAAAGAGAACGTATTTCGACCCCATGGATTGCTGTTCCGCTCTCAATTCACTATCCCAGGGATATCCCAGAATAGTAGATTAATAAAGATGAGAAAGCAAGATCATTTGTTGAAAAAATGAGTGGGGTATTTTGAAAAAATCCTAAATGGTTTATCGGAGAGTCGAATTGATAATTTAATTATCCAGGAAGAATTGGATGAAAACAAATTATTTTGATGAAACATTTTGAATTCATGGTGAGAAAAAGACTCATGGGCAAAAATATGACTGTCTAAAATCCGTGCTAAAATCATCGGCATACCATACGTGGTCCTTTAAGGCCTCTTGTATCTTGATGCACCCTTTCCCTAAATAACAAGAGTCCACAGATTTAATACACACGGCATAATTTATCTGAAATATACAAAACTAGTTTACCTAAAATATTAATGGGTTAGTGGGGTGGGTGGGTTAGTGTACTTCCAAAAACGGACTTACCCGACTATTCTAACTGAGTGGTAGCCGACTTTCCCAGTGTCATCTGGTGCGTTGGAATGTTTATAGATGCCGCCCCTGTACATAAAGAAATCCTCCTTTACAGCAAAGGTGGCCTGGACAGGACCATTTGTGAGGATCTCTTTCATGATTTCTCTTTCCTGTAACAAAATAGCACTTTGGCAGACTCAGTTATCATTGTCAAGTTTGAATTGATCCCTGTTTATCCACTGATATCGAAATGAAATGAGTGAGTGTATGGATTTCCATCATAATTATTCCAAATATGTGAGATCTTGGTATCAAAAGTTAAATGCGTGTATTTTGACATGATACTGTTGTTAATTACTTAAAACAATGGACCACAATGACATATATAAATGACTTTAAAAAGTAATGCTGCTTACATCGTCCCTGATTCTATATGGTGGAGTTGATTGGTAAATATTCTGTGACGCAATCCTATTGCTGGTGCAAAGAACATTCTTGGATCGCAGTGAAGATCTGTTGATATAACACTTTCCTTTAGCATTGTTCTGGCCACTAGTGTAAGGGTAGCATTCCTCGGTTACGACTCTAAAATCACACCAACAACGTATTCTATTTTAGGCCCACTTTGCTATGGTACAATTCGAATCCTGCTTCCTTCAGCGGATACTTATAATTGTAGATAAATTCAAATAAATCTGGATCATGGTAAGTGGTACTTGATCAGTATTGAAGGTTTACAAGTATAAACTTAAAACAGGGCTGCGTACTATACATGTTAGCATTGGCATGGTATGTGGCTTTATTGAACAAGTGTTGATTTTTGTTGATTTGTGTGAGGCCATGTGATGCCAGGGTTAAGGTAGGCCCATCAATTATCATTTAGACATGTCCCCACCCACATTTTCATTTTTAAGAAGTTACATCAACTCTTAAATCAAATATGACCCACCCTCATTTTCATTGTAAAAGTCACATCAATGATTAATTAAATATGACCCCATCCTCATTTTCATTTTTAAAACGTCACATCAACTATTAATTAAATATGACCCCACCCTAATTTTCATTCTTAAGAAGTCACATCAACTCTTAATCAAATATGACCCCACCCTAATTTTCATTCTTAAGAAGTCACATCAACTCTTAGTCAAACATGACCCCTTCCTCATTTTCATTTTAAAAAGTCACATCAACTCCAAATCAAATATGACCCAGCCCTAATTTCATCACACCTCATCCTTTTGTACATTCTCGTTTACCTCATCACCTCAAATTTCTCTAACCGCCATCTTCTTTCACCGTGTACCATGAATTAACCTCCGAGAACACAAAATCATTTGTTTATTTTCCACCCTCACAATGCACTTCAAAAATTAGATATTGTTTAGAATTTTTGGAGAAACATGATCTTAAGACCTACTGTAACGTGTGAGATTGCAATGCACAGTACACTCCCTGTCAAAAGTTTGAAATCCCAAATTCCGTTAGCCTGTTTACGATTGGTTATTTAGAAAATCATCGGATTTGCCTTTCCCACCTAGGCTTAATGCAATCGTGAGCGGCAATAAAAATGTAGCTTTTGAAGAGGAGTACTTATTAATTCCATTGAAAATGATATGATACTTTGATATTTAGCAGGAAAGTAAATTCATTTATACTTAGTATACAAAGATAAATACGACTAAATAAATAACACTGGTAACAACCCCCCTCCCTCCCAAATTAGGTTCACGATGGACGAATTTTGAAGTCGACATATAAGCATCTTAAAACGAGAGGCCATTGCACGTTGTAAACTTACCCTAGTTTTCTCATGTACCACCAGGCCCTATCCAGGTGGCCCCCTTCACACCCCAGCTGCTTGCGACCGTTGCAAGAGATAAGCTGTTGTGGGGAGAGATCCACATTGATAGATCCGATGGAATGCAGTGCCAGTCGGTCAGAGGCCACAGCTGAAACAGAAATATTCGTTTATACAAACGATATCACACCAAATTGGTACTCTCAGACGTATGTATGGATTTGAAAATAAACTGTGGTAGAACTTGGTGCTTTTTTACATTTGTATAGTATTGAAGACTCCGACAAGCAATTTTGCTGGAATCGCGTATGCCAAGACTCCTAAAATGACCACCAAAAGATGGCCACCTAAAAATTATTTAACTCTAGAACTTCTAGTGATACACTCTGACAAATGTACAAATTTGGAGATAACCCAACAAGGTATTCAGGTAAAGAATCATGTCAAAATTTTCAACTAACCAGCTGTGCTAAAGGCCCATGAGGACCCACAATTCCCCTGGTCACGTATGGCGGACACCGATCCTTCCCATTCGTCACGAGAGTCAAAAGCAGATGGGAGTCTTTCGTCTACTCTCACTCGCAATGACGTCATGTGTATTACATCACTGTCCGGTAAAAATGTCCCTAATCTGTACTTTAATCCAAATCCTAATGTCTTTCCCCACAAAAAAGAATAATTACCGGCTCTCCACCTTTAAATTACATAACAATATGAAAATACAAATTGCAATTTCTTAATTTTGATCAGCAACAGATATATTAATACGATATCTCAATACACAGAAATTGTTTGAGGAATTATGACTTACTGATTATAACTAAATGGCACTAACCCTTCATAGCCTCTGTTAACGTGTTCTATGATCGAATCCCTGATGAGACATACTTCTCCATCACATTGCCACAAGTAATGGTTTTGTCTGAACTGGTTTTCTACACACGTGCTATAATATTCAGATGAATAGAGCTACATATTAATCGCAATTAATCGTTTTCAAAAAGCAAACTATGGCACATGATTTGGGGAATAACGCGGGTTATGGCTAGGGGCGATTACAAAGTTCAAAACTCGAACCACAAACTACAACCATTTTTCACTTCAGAATTTGAATCTTCAGTTTTTGTCTTATTAGCTCGCTTTGAACGCACTGAACGAACTATCGCTAGAAAATCGGCTATTCTCACAGCAGTTCATTCGTGCGTTCCTTGCCATAGAAATACATTTAGGCCCGAAAAGCACTGAATAAATTGCTTGGAGATTGAAGATCGAATTGGAACCCTGGGAGCCAATCCTCCTATATCAAGGACTGGCAGCAATTATTCAAACTCGATACTCCGTTGCCCGGCGTGGAACAATTTAGTAAAAATATTATCAAGTATTCCAATAGAAGATGTACATTCCGAATATTATTGTAATCAAGTTTCAAATATGAGTTCTGGTCTTCAAAATATGAGTGATATTGTTTCTAAATTGGTCCACGCCGGGCAACGGAGTAGCGAGTTTGGATAACGGCTTTCGATCCTCCTTGATATTTTTCGCTGAGATTTACCCCTCGTTCAATTCCATCCCTGTATATCATATTCAGGTGTTCCAAATAACAACAATACATTAGAATATTGATCAAAGACTACTCACCATTCTTGACAATTAACTTTACTGACATCTCCTGGGTTGTAATATCTTCCATCTGCTATACAGTCGTCTGCAAAAGAAGACAATGAACAATGAGTTGAAGTATGCAGTGAGATTTACAGATCATTTTATGGAGTTTCTTGTCGTTTTAAATGATACCAATCGATGTATTTTGTGCATTTTGCAGATAAGTTTAAAACAAAGTCTAAGGATCCGCGGAACGTTTCGAGTATATACGGATAGCTTGACTTGACTTCAGATCAATAGACAACTAACTTGACTTCAATGATTTCACTCACTAAAACTTGGGTTCTGTAAGGTTAGTGGTAGATACCTTATAACTAGGACAATATTCGCAGTATTTCCGCCTGGAAGACACTCAGACAATAGGCCCTAGCAGGCCCTACTGCTCAAGTGACAGAACAAATGAGAAAAAATCTTTTCCGTCATTTTTGGAATTATTTTGTGAATGATATTGAACCCTGTCCCATTTTCGCGGAGTGGTCAATCACCACCCGAGTTCATTTACATTTACAAAAACATTCGGGTTTACACGAGTAATAAAATAGTTATATTTTTACACTGTAATTGCAATTATTAATAAATGAGGAAAAAATCACAAAAATTCATTTCGCATTAAGTGTACAATTCCTATGACCTATACGTACCCCATGGTATGCGAGTAATTAAAATGTCACCATTATTTGTACATAAATTTTTTCTTCGAAACGCTTTTAAAGTGCCCGATAAAGTATAAAATGCGCATGCGTCCAGGTGTTGATAAACTATAAATAGCGAAAACCCAGGGTTTGTCACCACAAGGTAAGCCAGGACGTGTTGAGAGAACAGCTAGTGTTGATATTGAATTGATATGTAGCCAGATAAGTTTCCTTATTGAAATTACATATGGTTATTAGCAATACTTTGTAAGTGCTAAATAATAAAATATTTAGAGTATATATGAGAGAAATTGGTCATTTCGAACCTGTTGAAAAGTTTGTGGCTCTCGGCTACACCGGGGAATTTACTTCCATGAGTACACACATAAATGTGGGGTTCCCCAAGAGGTACGCGACAAGGTGACCTGGCATCAAATGTGCGACTAAATGCTACTATCGAGAAGATAAAATAACGAATACGACAATAAGTTATTGCATGTGACAATTCCGAGCCTTCATCTCACTGAAGTATTTTGAAGTGAAAATAGGATTTTTGTTTTCATACATGGATTCAGATGAACGTAACTTTATTCTGACAACTAATCAAAACTGAACAAAATTGATTGTACGTAACAGACAATTTATTGTTTTACAATGTTTTGATTGGCTAAACGAATGAAACCAACAAATTATGACATGTAAAATGACAATTTTGAAATGTAAAATTTAAAAGTGACAAACACAACCTCCCTATCCACTCTTTGGGAGCCCTAGTAAATTAGTAATATGTACATGCAGCAGTGGTAGTGTGCAGCTTATTATCACACTACGCTTTGTATTCTAAAGCCTGTTGTTTGTAATAACACTGTTCACTCAACGTATGTTTTGTGTGTGGGCAGTCAACGATAATCATTGTTTTATCCCGGTTATATGACCTCGGCAGTTATAACAAAACCGTACTAAACGAAAAAACGCAAATAAGAGAAAGCTTTCACACACATATAAAAAATGAACTAGTCTAATCCGCCAGTATAAACTCTGTGCTATACGTAGCCGGGTCAGGCGCACACTTTAATCTTTAATTACCAATACCACCCTATGCTTAGTGAGCGGACCTAATTTCAAGGGTGATGGTAAAGACGATGCATGGCGCCCAAACCTGGCCTGTAACTAGGTGCACTGATGCTTTCTTCGCAAATTACATCGCCATTGCTCGTCATCGAAATTCTGATCGCCGAATAGACACTCTAGTAAACATTCATTTTGTATTGGATGTACATAACTAGAGACCGCCTTATTTCGCATATATGAAAAAATAAAACATATCTAGGTACATATATCTTTATATGTGACATCGATCGGGAATTATTGACATATTGTCAATATTAGGTTGTAATTTCTTGCGGTAAATTCAAATTGTATCTTTAAACGACTGTTTCATCTTAACTATTCGTTTTATTGGATGTAAAACAAACGGTATGCATAGTTTAACATCTTTCACTTCTAAAACAGCATAAAATATCACAATATCATCACCTAATGCTGCAATAATACGACTTAAAAGATTATGGTACTAATATTCTTTGGTTTTTGGGCGCCATGCCTCGTCTTACCATCACCCTTGAAATTAGGTCCGCTCACTAAGCATAGGGTGAATACGAAAAGCAAAATCTTTATAACCTCACACGTTTAGTGTTGGAGTTAACAGAACGGTATTAAGATCACGAAAGGTTATAAATACAATCACAACCTATGACCCAAGGAAACTTAGACTAAACAGTCAATCTGTAGTTAGATAAACATGATCCGCATTTTATTTCTGATTGTGCGTAGTTTTCTGTGACATTTACATGTCACAGTTTCTGTGTTTTCCGTGTACTTAATTATAGGAAAATGAACAATTGACTTAGTCTTTCCTGAAAACGCAATATTTGGATTTACCACGTATATCATTTTTACATTTCTATGCAACTGACATGAAGATTATTAATTGCTTTAATATTTAGTTGGCGTGGTTATAGAGCAAAAAACCCGGAACAGCCCAGGTGAAGGTTTACCTGTTTTTTGTTTATATAATTTTTTCCTCATTAATAATAACAAGAGACTGTGGATAGTGGATTTGGAATTTTGAAATATGAAAAAGAAAAGCTTATATTGAAAATAGGGCCAGGCTGGTATAAGTTTGAAAACGTTTCCTTGGTTTATTTTTTAAGCTTTTTGAGATCTTGATTATTCTTATTTCAATTCGATACGTATCTTTGAACTTTAGGAAAATATATAGCCTGGTCACTGGTCAGCACTCAGCAGCTAGCCCCCTTTCTAAATGAAATCCCGCTAAACAGATCTTTAATTGTACTGCACATGATAAGAAACTCGTTTATAATCATCTATGTAGCTATTTTTATTGGAGTGGTTTGATCTCAATTTCAATTCTTTGATTACTTCTTAAGAGTTGTTTGCCACTTGTATCCTTGCCACAACATACCTCGCTTATTAAACTGACCACTTTTAAGACAATATCGATTTTTATATGATTTCTATCGTTACTTGAGTGTTCAATAAAACATAAAAAATTGATAAGAAATGTAAATCTTGGTCAAAACGTGTGTGTACAATTGGAAGCTTATCGTAATGTCTGTCCGCTGATTGAAGATATGTGACCCAAAAAAATGCAACCCTCCATTTCTTCAAAGACTTCATTTAATGTGAGATCCTCTGGCAAAGTTTTAATAATCATAGCCTTAAAGTGATAGAGTTATGGTCGTTCCAAAATATGCTTCAATCTTTGTCTTTGTGGGCCTTTCAGAGCAATTAACCTCCATTTAAGAAAAATAAGAGAAATGGAGGGTTGCATTTTTTGGGTCATACTGTATAAATATTATACATCTGCAACGGTGGTATATGGTATATGTCAAAGATAGAACGTGTGGTAATTTAATAAAACTATATGTTGACTCTGTTTCTAGTGACAAATATACGTACTGAATTATATACAGATTGGTCAAAAAACGGTATAGTCATGCACCAGCCCCTTGTTTTGCAGCTTCACAGATTGCAATTACGATAAATTCGATTCACATCAGCTGTTAAGAAAATTCAATTCCAATTCACAAGTATATGTTTAAGTTTAAGTTTAAAAATAGTTTATTTTTGTGTCACTGATATTACAATATACATATAAAATACATGTATATATATGTAAAAATAGGCTCGCTGTTGAAATAAAGATAAAGGAATATTTTGTGAGAATTTATGGATATACCCTCGTATATGGGGCGTTTCCCATCCTAAAATAATTTTGTCGGGCATTATTTATTATTGAAGTATTTAAGTCAAGGCCGATATGTACGGGGCTTAAAGAAAAGAGTGCATGAAATCACCATTAATTTATTAGTGTACATATTATTTGTAAGTAATACCAAATGAACAAGAATATTTCATTAAAATAACTGAAATTCTGCCACAAACATTTCGTGATAGTTTTTACAAGGTCAACATTTTGGCCTGTATACTTAACAAATGATTATGCCACTACTAAGAGTTTTTCACACAAGTAGTTTTTGTTTATTAGCCATAAATATGTTGTAAAATAAAGAATGACTATACTATAATATTCTAGTTTAACTTTGGTCACCCCAAAATGTCCTAATTCTAAAATCACATAGGCTTACAAAGAAATACATGCCCACACGTAAGTTTAAGTTTAGAACAATTAATATCAAATTTTCTGATAACTTGAACGATTAGACTTTTTAAGGAGGTATGTAAACACTTAAGGACGTGATCTACTTTTTGAGAACTTGTATATCAACAATGACCACTGGAAGGCAACTGATATCTCTGCACTCGTTTGAACAATGATTGCATTTCACCTGAAGTTTTCCTTAGACCGGCAGTCAAACATTTTATCCATCAGAAGATAATTAATGTGGGTAGTTAAAGATATGGAGTGATCGTAATTTATTTTTGTTGCCTTAATCTCCCGAGAGAAGTGTTTATTCTCGTGTCAACTCATGACAAGAGTTATCGTTTTAACCATAATCCACTGTTAAATCGCGCCTCATTCATCAAGGTCCACACCGCCCAAAGCATAAATACTTGGCATATAGTTTTCAGTTGTTGCCGTTTAAGAATTAGTACACCGATTCACGCTTGTGAATTACAATTTATCGTTTGTTATGGCACATGTTTTGGGATATTCAGGTTTTACAAATTAGTTTCTTTATTTATGTTCGCCAAATTCTTTATGGTTCCGTACGTGTTCTTGGACAATGATTACTATTACCTTGATAAGGTATCTTGATTTATATCTAACCTATGCTCGAAATCTAACCCGAAGAATACAAGTCTATTTCATTAAGTTTTTGATTACATTCTCCTGTATCAAAATCAATTAAGTTTTGCGATATTT